AAAACCTTAGTTTTGGCTCTTATTCTTGTACACTTCTAAAACTGGCGTTAAATCATTCTGATTTATGCTGTGATGGAAGAGTATAAGTGTACTCCAACTTAAGTGCGCTCCTTACTGAGTACTGCAATCCTCTGGGCTTTGGTGTATATTATACATATTTATAATGTAATGTCAGCTGTTACACTGGCATATTGGATTTAGGGGAGATTCTGCCTTCTTGAGCTCCTTTCTTATAGTGCCTCGCATATAAGAAGCACTCAATAAATATTTGCTGAATCTGAATTCTATCTCAAAAGCCCTACTATTGGCTTCATAAATGTATTCTTCGGTATTAAAAGTCCATAATATGGCAATACTGAAAGCTACACTTGAAAATATGCTGTAGACTTCAGAGCTACAAGAGACCTTAGACCTTGGACCTAGTTCCACCCTTGCTTGTACAGTTGGGCAAATTGAGACCCCATCTGCTCAAGGTTAAAAAAAATAGCATAGCCAGGATTCAAAGTTGGGTCCTTTAACTACAAGTTCAATGCTCTTTCTGCCCTATCTCACTATTCTTTTTATAGTGTACTCATAATAAGACAACAAAACAAGCTAATCTCAAAAATTGCCCTCTCCCTCCCATGCCCATTGTCTGTTTAAGTGGCAGAGCAATGTTATAAAATACTGTTACCTGATTGTCTTCATCAGTAACCCCAGATAACAAATTCCTTGCTTGCCTTTCTGATTATTTTGCCTTTCATAAGGTAGGGAAGCAATTAGAGGAAGGCTACCCTGGGCCCAATGATCTAAGAAGGAGGAACTGGTTGGTATATTGGAAATAAAAAGAACTTGCCAGTTCAAAATTCATGATCAATAAGGAATGCCTCAGACATAATACAGATTACCCAAGACTAAAGGAAAACAGATTTCAGTGAATTCAGCAAAATGATGGACAGGATCCAATGGCCTGAGGCTCTAAAAGAAATATCAATTCAAGAGAGATGGGAAGCTCTTAATTCAAGAAGCAATTATTAAGTACCTACTGTGTGGAGGTGATTGTACTAACTCTGGGAATACAAACACAAAATAAAAAAATAGTCCTGGCTCTCAGAGAGCTTACATTCTTTTGGGGGATTATAATGGGCAATCAGAAGACCCTCTATTAAGTTTGGTCAGCTATGCCCAAAGGACTATAAAACTGCATATCCCTTGATCCAGCAACACCACCACTAAGTCTATATCCCAAAGACATCCAAAAAAAGGGAAAAGGACTTATTTACACAAAAAAAAAATTTATGGCAGGCCTTTTTGTGGTGGCTAAGAATTGGAAATTGAAAGAATGCTTATCAGTTGGGGAATGGCTGAAGAAGCTGTGGCATATGGTTATGACAGAATATTATTGTGCTATAAAAAATTATAAACAGGATGATTTCAGAAAAACCTGGAAAGGTTTATATGAACTGATGCATAATGAAGTGAACAGAACCAAGAGAACATTGTACACAGTAACAGCAATATTGTGCAATGACTTAGCTATTCTCAGCAATATAATGATCCAAGACAATCCCAAAGGACTAATGATGAAGCATACTAAGCTGCCTCCAGAGAAAGAACTGATATTGTTTGGATATAGACTGTAGCATGCTATTTTTCACTTTCTTTCATTCTTTTTTCTTTTATTCAAGTCTTCTTGTACAAAATGACTCATATGGAAATGTTTTTACATGATTACACATATTTAACCTATATCTGATTACTTACTGTCTAAGGGAGGGGGGAGGAGACAAAGGGAGGGAGAGATGGATAGAATTTGAAACTCAAAATTAAAAAAAACCAAATGTTAAAAAAATTGTTTTAACATGTAACTAGAGAAAAAATAAAATATATTTTTGTTAAAAAGTAAGGAGGAAATGTGCTACAGGTATGAAATATTGCATGAACTTTCAGATGTGGTCAATGTATTGTTAGTTTTACTTGTTACAAGAGACCTGTCATGAAGTAGAAATAATCTATAAATGTTTGTAATATAAAAAAAAAGCACCTCAATAAAACTCAAAGTGTTAAAAAAAAAAGTTTGCTTAGCTCAATCAACTTGATGAAATTACAGAGTGTGGCCTTTTTAACTAGACCAGCAACACAGACCCTTAACTGAGACATGGATTCAGACACTTGAGGATTGGACCATGGTGGTACTTGTGCTTTAGAAAGATTATTTTGGTATCAATAAGAAGGATACCAACCTCTTGATGGTGTGACACAGTTAACTCTGACTGGTCTTCTGAGATTGGGGCTGCCTCGTGATAACTGGTGACTGTCAAGGAAGCTGGATTATTGGAGGAACTGCCTCCCACTATGGTCTATAATAGCGAGCTATTCAACTGCTCAACCCTTTTTGGACCATTTTTAAGACTCTCTTTCCCTTGGGTTTCAAAACAGGAATAAAACAAAGACAGGAGGTAGCTTTTCTTGTCACCAATCCCCTCACCGTGCCCAGAAGCAATGATGAGGCACAGGAGAAGCATTAAAGGCCTGAGGATGGAATCTCTGGATGACCCACTCCTACATTCCTTCTACCTTTCTGTTTCCTTTTCTGAGACTAGGTCAGTAATTAGCAGACTCAAGAAATTGGCATTTCTAGTCTTGGGTATGATCATAAATCTTACTGCTCCTAAATTTGAGTCAGGCATCAATCTCCAAGAAGTAAATTTCCTTAAAAGAACATTTTAGCAGAGGGGTTCTGCAGCTTAATAACTAAAGCCATGGCCTGTCTGGGCAAGAGATCTACACCTTGCTAACCTTTCATGATAACTTCTCTGGGTTGCTTGAACAATGTGAGTCTGAGGAGAATGATGAATAACTGCTCAACAGTCCCAGAAAGTCTTTACCTTCTGGGGCAATATAATGAATGTCACAGGCAATTTGGGTGTTTTATTTTTCCTACATTTATCCATGCACACTTATGAGTCATCTGCATTTTATGTAGTTTCTGCAGTAGAGAAAATAAAAAATCCAGAAAGATAACCTGCCTACTTTGTAGCCAGGCTCCCAAGACCAAACCCAGGCCAAAGTGAGCCCTTGGGCCATGGTTCAAATAAATACAATATAATTTTAAGAGGAAAGGAATATTAACAGCTAGGGAACACAGAAAAATCCTCCGATTTGAGTCTTGATTCTAGGAAGTGTAGATGAGAACAAAGTACAGTTCTGAGCTAGCCAATACAAAGCCATGGCAGCTGAAGATGGAACGCTGATTTGGAACGATTAGTAAGGAGGCTAATTTGGCTGGATCTGAGAGTGTATGAAGGGTTGTAGAGTGAAGTGAGTCTGGAAAGATACATACGGAGGGCCTTTATGTGGTTTGTCCTTCATTCTTGAAGAGAACCACGACACTGGGAAGATAATGTCATGACTCATGATTAAGCTGAAGATATTAGGCAACAAAGAGGAAGTACAATTATTCAACATTTGAGGCTCACAATTCTTTCTCTCAGTTCAATTCAATAAACACTTATGTGAATTTCAATGAGCTAGAGCATTTATTTGTAATTATATCTTAATATCCAATTTATTAGTCAATCAAAATCTAATATACTTCTATTAATTAGAAGTTAAAATAAGGATCCACTTATTTGAGACATTAGTAGGAGAGAATTCTATTACAGGTTATATCCCATTACAATAAACTTCAAAGGTACAGATCACTTGTAAGTACTGTATGGTTTATGAAATATGGCTAAAATATGGTTGGCCACAAAGCTAGATCTTAGAAATATTTTCATTGTAATCAAATTCTCAATACAGTGTTATTTGTTTTAATGAGATTTTGAGTATATCACCCTTGGTAGGTGGCAAAGTGAATAAGAGCACTGGACTTAGAGTCATGATGAACTGAGTTTAAATCCTGTCTCGGACAGTTACTAGCTGCGTGACCCTAAGCAAGTCACTTGGTCTGGTTTTTTGGTCTCACCTGACTATTGCATATTTAGGTATGACAATATTTTAGAAAATAAAAACTTTTCAAATAATCACTTCTTCAAAATTTAAATTTATCCAAGTTATTGGTCTGTTCATCATTATTTTCTTGACTATAAAGTCATGGTACCTCCCAAGCAATAAGGAGCAACAAGTATTCTAACTCCCCCACTTTGACCAGTGAGCCAAGTGAAGGTGCAGCCAGTACTGGAAAGCCAGGAAGGTCTCTCTCAGCGGTGCGTGTGTACAGTTTCTAAACAAGTTCACAACAAGTTGTGGCATATGATACTATTGTGCTGTAAGAAATGATGAAGAGAATGGTTTCTGAAAAACATGGAAAGACTTTTGTGGATTGATGCAAAATGAAGTAAATAGAACAAGGAGAGTACTGTACACAGTAACACTAATATCATAATGATAATCAACTGTGAAAGACTTAGCTACTCTTATTAATACAATAATCCATAACAAATCCAAAGGACTCATGATGAAAAATGTTATCCACTTTCAGAGAGAGAACTGATGGACTCTAAGTGCAAATTGAAGCATATTTTTTCCACTGTCTTTATTTTTCTTGGATTTTTTTAAGCATCATAGCTAGTATGGAGATATGTTTTGGGGAGCTAGGTGGCACAGTGGATAGAGTGACAGGCCTGGAGTCAAGAAGATCTGAGTTCAAATCCAGCCTCAGACACTTACTAGCTGGGTGATACTGGGCAAATCACATAACGCCGTTTGCCTCAGTGTCCTCATTTATAAAATGAGTTGGAGAAAGAAATGGCAAACCACTCCAGTATCTTTGCAGAGAAAACCCCAAATGGGGTCACAAAGATTCAAACACAAATGAATGACAACAACAACTTCCCATGTATAGTGGGTATCATATTGCTTGCCTTCTCAATGGGTAGGGGAGGGACTGGAGGGATAGAATTTGAATCTCAAATTTTTTTTCAAATGAATGTTCGAAGAAAAAGGCAAAAAAAGAAACATGTAATAAGACATTTCCCATCCACCTCTCCCCGCCTATCTATTTCCACTTTTGTTACCTGATCAACAGGCAAGTCTATTTGCACATTGTTGTCATCTTTCACATACGGCGCTCCTTGAATTTCTTGTCTAGGGGTGCGTGCTTGAAACACATCGCCTTCTGGAGTAAAAAAAACAAAAAACAAAAAACCACAAACACATAGGAAACTGCATTAAGTCACTGAGCTACATTTACTTTTGCCATAGAGAGAGAGGCAGCCTGATTTTAGCGTAAAGTATGCTCCCCCTGGAGTCAGAATGCCTGGGAGCAAGTCACTTAATCTTTCTAATTTTAAGCTCCTTCATTCGCAAAGTGCAAATCATACTTTCACTGCCTACTTCATAGGGCTGTTGTAAGAAAAGCACTGTGTTCAACTTAAAAATTTCATAATATATGAACTTACCGTCCTACTCCTTTAAATTGTAGCACAATAGAAAATGCACTTACTCTGAGGTTCAAATTCCACTCCTGATAATTATTACCTGTGTGACCCAAGCCAAGTCACCTAACCTCCTTAGGCCTCAGTTTCCTCATCTGTAAAAAGAAGGGGCTAGACAAGATGACCTCTAAAATCCCTTCCAGCCCTACATCTGTTGCTAATTAGTCATAACACAGAATAGCAAAATGTGCCTTCTTTTTTCTATGATGCAGATAACATAAATTTTAGTATAATCTCACTAATTCAAAATAATTGAAGGGTAAGCCCATCAGACTAGGTCAAAATGTCATTTATATATTATTTTAAAAGAAATGTAGGTTTTTTTAATTCCAAGTACATACAGAAACTCAAAGAGACTTAAGAAGGGGTTACCTTGCTTTAATGAATAGGTTATCAATAATATGTAATTGCTGAGCACTGAGACCTAAGCCCTGCTCCTGGGCTGCCCCACAGGGACCTTGTCTTTGCTACTGGCAGAGCTGGTATAAGGTATCGGCACATCCCAGGAAAAGTTAGAAAAGTAACGTTCTGGAATGTTCCTGTCTCTATGAATCTATGAAACTATTTTTAAAACACTTGGTACAGTGCAAAGAGTGACAGGTTTAGAGTCAGAGGACTTAGGTTTAGATCCCAGCTTTGCCCACTTATTACCTGTGTGACACTGGACAAATTACTTAACCTCTCTGGGCTTCCATTTCCAGCCAAATGAGAGAAATAAACTAGATGACCTCTGACATTCCTTCCAGCTCAAAATCTTCGATCTTACAAAATTCTACTTAAAAATAGACCCCTGTGACCAAGCATGACCCCACAGGACTAATGATGAAGCACGCTCCCAACTCTTCTGACAGAGGGGCAATGGACCCAAAGTACAGAATGAGACATACATTTTCAGACATGGCAAATGTGTGGATTTGTTTTGCTTGACTATACTTGTTGTAATGATTTTCCCCTTTTTTTATCGGGGGAGGAAGTCTTGGGGAAAAGGGGAGCTATCAATAGTGTTGCCAAAAAAAAAGACTAAAAGAAAAATGGGTCATTGAAGTAAATTTTAAAATGCACAGAAGGGAAAAGAGTGTAATTCAAGGGGGAACACAGACAATCAGGACAGCTTTGAAAGTAACATGCAGAATTTATTATATACTTTTTAAAAAGCAAGATATATATCAAAGATTCATGGTTTCACATATAATTCTCATTTTCTGTTCTACTTTTTATATGGAAATGTCCTTTTCTGAGGGTTTGTTGAATTCAGAATAAATAAACAAGCAAATAAATAAACAAACATAAATAAACTCCTAAATGCCAGAGAGAGGGGGATTCTTAGACATCAAAAATAGGTACAATGTTGAGCAATTTAGAAGAGTTCCTCTCTGTGCTCCTTCCCGCTGCATATTGCATCCTGGGAAGCTTCCCATCTTGCCTAATCCTGGTTCTATTTAGTGGATACTGAGCTCACATAAAGCTCAGAAATCAACATGTTAAAGTCGAAACAAGCCTTTGTTATCAAGTTTTGCCCCACCAACCAGTGTCTACCCATAATTTTTCCTTTCAAAGAGTTCTCATTTGAGGCATGTGGCCTAAAATCACAGGTGTCCTATGGTTGGATTAATAAGGTCATTTCTCTACTGATGGCCTGCTGCAGCTACACCACCCAGAACTGAGTCCCTGAAAATTAAAAGATTTTTTAAAAAATGATGAATTATAAGCAGTAGTTAATCAGATAATTAGCATATCTGAGGGCAACACCAGTACTCTGAACTGCATCACTGCTGGAGTAAACAGCTGAGTGCAAAAAATATAGTTTCCTAAATTTCAGAACCTGCTGAACAGCTCTTTTCTTCACTAGTTCTTTTGTTTCTGGAGTCAAGAAGACTTGTCTTCATGAGTTCAAATCTGGCCTCAGTCACTTACTGGCTATGTGACCCTGGGCAAGTCACTTAACTCTGTTTGCCTCAGTTTCTTCATCTGAAAAATTATCTGAAGGAGGAAATTGCAAAATACAAACCACTCTAGTATCTTTGCCACAAAAAATCCTAAATGGGTCACAAAGAGTCATATGTGACTAAAATAATTAAATAACAATAAAACCCCTTCTTTTGTTCTCTTTTTCCCCATCTCTCCCTCTTTTCTTCCTTTTTCCTCTCAATAGATTTCTCTAATTACCCTTCATACTTTCTTTCTTTTTCTCCCTAAATTCACCTCTCCTCACCATTTTCTCTGTTGAGAGCAATGTCATCTTTGCAGTCACCAAAGCTGACAATGTCCTTGACTCTTCATTTTCCTCTCTCAATCATAGCTGATGAAACGCTGAATCACCTCCCCAATATCTCTCCACTTCGTCCCTTTCCCTCCACTCACCCAGTCACATGCTGGATTTTGAGTTCAAAGATGTAGGTCTAAACCCTGGCTTATAGCCTGTGTGACCTCTAACAAATAACATCATCTTGCTGGGCCTTAATCCTTCATCAGCAGAATGAGTCAAATGTACTGGATGGCCTGTGAGGACCCTTCAACTGCTACTGTACTTCATTCTATGATTGTGAAGTCATCACAGTAGATCAGGCCCTCATCACTTTTCACCTCTATTATTGCTACAGCCTCCTGCTTGGCCTCCCTGCCTCAGTTCTCTTCCCTCTCAAGTCTCTCTTCTATGTACCTGAGAAACTAATAATCCTTAAGTACAGATCTGACCAAGTCAACACTTATCCAAAAGCTTCAGCAGCACCATATTACCTCTAGGAGAAACAACAAATTTCTTTTTTTGGCATTTGGAGCCCTACCTTTATGGTTCCAACCTTTCTCGTCATTCTGATTTCCCAAGGCTCCTCCTCAAAAACTCTACATTCCAGTCAAATTGGCATACTTTCTCTCCCCTATGCATAACATTCCAACTCTCATCCTTTTGTCTTTGCACAGACTATTCCTATTACTTGAGATATTTTCCCTCTTCACTTCCACTTTCTTGGACTCCTCTTAATTCCCCTTCAAGACTCAGATGAAGGGCCACCTTCTATAAAAGGCCTTTCATGTTTCCCCCAATTGTAAGATCCCCTCAAAGAAATTTTCTAATTTTAATGTATTTTGATTTACTTGTCTGCATATATATTGTTTCTTCCCAGTAGAATGTAAGCTTCTTCAGGAGAGCAATAGATTTCTTTTTCTCTTTCCATTTCTAGCACCTAGTATAGCGTCTGGTATAGTAATAATAGTTAGCATCTCTATAGCACTTTAAGGTTTGCAAAGGGCTTTACAATTATCTCATTTTATGCTCACAACAACCCTGAGAAGTAAGTGGTATGATTATTGCCATTTTACAGATAAGAAAACTAAGGTTGAGAGAAGATAAGTGACTTGCCCAAGGTCACACAGCTACTAAGGATCCAAAGCAGAATTTGAACTCAGATCTTCTGACTTCAGGATCAGAGTTCTATGTATGGCATCACCCAGCTGTCTCCTACGGTATACACACAGCCAGTGCTTAGTGAATGGTTTTTCTTGTTGCTTTTCCAATTCTCACTTCCCCCTTATAGATCATAAGCCATAGGATTTAGTGATGAAAGAGATCTTTGAGATCACCTAGCCCAGTAACCTCTTGTTAGAATGTTAGAATGGCAGCCAGTGACACAGTGGATAGAGTGCTGGGCCTGGAGTCGGGAAGACTCATCTCTCTGAGTTCAAATCTGGCCTCAGATGCTTACTGGCTATGTGACCCTAAGTAAATCACTTAACCCTTTTTGCCTCTGTTTCCTCATCTCTAAAATGATCTGGAGAAGGAAATGGCAAATCCCTCTGGCATCCCTGCCAAGAAAACCCCAAATGGGGTCATGAAGAGGATGACACAACTGAACAACAACAAGGTCAAATAGGTTACAAAAACAGGACCAAAGAGGGTCAAAATGCACATGGCTAGTGAGCGGCAGAGCCAGGATCCAAACCCAGATGCTCTGAAACCAGACAGTCCCTTATACTGTCCTTGTCCATCACACTGCTTCTCTCGTAACTGGGCATAATGTGGAATCAAAGTATGTCGGCAGTATTCTTCGTATGCAATGAATTCTTTCCAATTAGACGGTAATGTCAAATTCAAACAGAAGCAGGGGCCACCAAGCCCTAAATAAGGACCCCGCAGGTGCATTTTCACTAAGAAAACTATATAGTAACATTATTTATGTTCTATTATATTTTTATTTCCTTTATTAAATATTTCCCAATTATATTTTCATTGAGTTCAGACCACACTGGGGAGTGTCATAGGCCGCATGTTTGATACCTCTGGCAGAGGATAGAGTGGGATAAAGACCTGAGTTCAAATTCTGCCCCTGGTGTGTCCTAGCTATGAGACTGAGCAAGGTCTTTAACCTCTCTGAAATTCAGTTTCTTTCACTGTGAAAAGAGGATAAAAGTAACCATAATGATAACATCTCATCAAAAATGTCACTTGTATTTTATATTCTTAATTAAAAAGGCAGATAGGTTTAATCTTATAGATCTGTTTAAAAAAAAGAACAACCTAAGCTAATTGAATGAAATTTGTTTTCATCAACTGATTTTTCCTGTGGACCAGTGGATGTGTGGATGTGTGTGTGTGTGTGGGTAGGTGGGTGGGTGTGGATGCACAAGAATGCACAGGGTATATATAGCTTTAAAGCTTGAAAGACCTAGCACCCTGCACATGTATATTCATGTGTATATGTACACACATCAATATAAACATATACTCATATAACTCCATTTTTATATTTTTTGGTTGCTGAAGCGTATAACAAGAGTGTTGGACTTAGAGTCAAAAAGACCAGAGTCTGAATCCTGCCTCAGGCATTTACCAACCAGATGATTTTAGGCAAGTCATTTATCCTGTTCTCAGCTCCAGTTTCCTTACCTGCAAAATGAAGATAATAACAGCACCTATCTCCCAGAGTTGTCATGTGGATTAACTGAGATAACATGTTAAGTGCTTTGCAAACTTTAAAAAAGGTGTATAAATCCTAGCTGTTAATATATATAATAATTGTATATAATATGATATAAACCTAAATTATCATGAAAATATTGACTTCAATTTCAGGCACATAAAGCTCCAACAAACACTTCTTTTTTTTTTTTTTTTTTTTTTTTTTTTGGTGAGGCAATTGGGGTTAAGTGACTTGCCCAGAGTCACACAACTAGTAAGTGCCAAGTGTTTGGTCTGAGGCCAGCTTTGAACTCAGGTCCTCCTGACTTCAGGGCCGGTGCTTTATCCACTGCACCACCTAGCTGCTCCCCAACCACCTCTTTTTGCTCATCATTAGTGGCCAATAGTAGAAAGCCAAATGCTGCTGTAGAAATACTGTAAGTTTTATATGGTATTTTATATTTATATATTTTTATTTTCTCTTTCAGGCTACTGAAGACCTCATCACTCCTTTCAGTCTCTTATTTAGGAGTGCCCACATTTTTCAGCATTCATCTTGAGGCCTTCTGTTACCCATGATGGTCTTACTCTGGGTATTGGAACTTTTCCCCAAATAATACTAGAAATACTCTCATAGAAGTCTTATCAACATTTTTAAATGTATCTTATAGAAAATACCAAAAAATACTAGTATGTTTGACCATATAAACCAAATATAATATTTCCCCTTACCTGTACCACGTAGAGTTAAAGGTTCTGTATAACTTGGCTTCTGGTCTATTTTTGCATAGTACACTGAGTTCTCACTCTCATGTAGTATTTCTTCATATAAATGATGATCTACTACTTCTTTTAATTCCTGGTTAAAGCATACATTGTAAACAAAATGGCATTAAGTAAACCTCATGGTCCAATAAGTCTAAACAGTCATTCTCACTGATCTAGTTTGAGGTACAAGATTCATGAGAGTAAGCATTAGAAGTTGATGGCAGAGGGTTGTCAATCACCTCTGAGGAAACCTCCCCTCCTCCACTGGCTTGATTACAAAGGGCCTTATATTTCCCACCCGTAAAATGACAATAATAATTCTGTCATCCCTTCCTTCCCATAGCTAATTACTAGAAGGCACTCTACCTCTAGTCTGATCGTGAGTGTCTCTAGCATCTGATATGTAGCTTGGACAAGAGGACTTTTTTATGAGAACAAACAAGTTAAGCAAGATACTTCTCTCATTTTTCTCTTCGCATCAAAGTAACAAAACTGTTTAGAAAAGACTAAACAAGTAAGTTCTGTCCAAGCATATGAGTGCAACAAGCATCTTTGGTATAGAAATAAAATATGTGGCATGTACATTAGGAGGCATATTGAAGAAGAATTAAAGTGGTTTCCAAAATATATTAATATTATATATTAATAGAATAGATATTAATATTCTAGATATTTCTAGAAAAACATAACTTTGCTCAATATATTAATGCATAGTACATAAAATATATTAATCAGATAACATATTAATTGAGCTAATATAATATTTTACCATATTCTGTTCTAAAAGGATGTCTAAAACTGCCCTGTTGAATTTAAGCTTTTTGAGGGCAAAGACTATTCTATGTCTATCTTTGTATTCTCAGCAATAGCTCAAAGCTTGGTACATGCTAGGTACTTAGCAAATATTTGTTGATTGTTTTTATTGTGGTCTCTACTGACACATTTAGGCATGTGGCATGATATGTGTGTATGTAACTAAATATAAGGTGTGCATTTGCTCTTAGAGTGGACCTGTGATCATACCAGAAAACTCCAGTAAAGAAATGCCTTCTGCCAATACCAGTCAGTAACTGCTTCACATTTTGCATTCTTAAAAGAGTTGTCTGACTCAGAAAGACTGAGTAATTTAGAGGGAGGACCTGACCTCAGGTCTTCCTAACTCCAGACTTTGCCCTCTGTCTGCTATGATGTACTACCTCATGAATATGTACACATAGATGATGATGATGATGATGATGATGATGATGATGATCCTGATGATGATGATGATGATGATAACTAGAAGATATATAATACTTTAAGGTTTGCAAAGCTCTTTACATATATTACCTCATTTGATCCTCACAACAACCCTGTGAGGTCTATTATTCTCCATTTTACAAATGAAGAAACTGAGGCTGATTCAAGAGACTTACCTGGGTCCAGGTCACAATTTGTAAGTGTCTAAAGCAGGGCTCAAATTCAGATCTACCTAACTTCAAATCTAACACTCTATCCCCTGCACAACAGATAGATGGATAGATAGACAGAAAGACACACAAATATACATACATATAGATATATACATATGCATATATACACATATATATTTCTCATATATATGCACACATATACATAATACCTACTTATATATTACAAATATGTACACATGTGTGTGTATATATAAGTATATATATATATATATGTATATGTATATATGTGTGTATATATATATATGATGGATTATACATTTATATCAACAAGTATTTATTTTTTACTTCCTCTGTGCCACATACTGTGGTAGTTGCTAGGGATATAAAAACATAGACTAGATCTTGTCCTCAAATAGCTTACATTCAATGGACATAAAATGTATGTCTCTAATATGCATATTGCACATATATATGTATCAATATGAACAAATATAATAATATATAAAATAGATATAATGAATATCAGCTAATTGGGGGAGGCACTGTTAGTGACTGAAGCCATCAGGGGAGTCCCTACATACAAAGAAGCATTTGAACTGAGATTTGGAGGAGGTAGAGCGAAGATGAAGAATAAAGTCAGGAATTCATCTGAATTCTCCCAAATTCCCCTCCAGTCAACTTTAAAGTAATGCCTCAAATCAATTTCTGAAGTGACAGAACCAACAAAAGGTTGAAGTGAAATGATTTTCCACACCAAGACAACTTAGGAGGTCAGCAGGAAAGATGCCTCACCAGGGTGATGGTCAGAGCTGGAGTGCAGCACAGTGCAGGCCCCCAGCAAGCCAGCAGCAGCTAGGGGTGGCTGCACCAGCAACAGCAGCAACCCTAGGAGCTCTTAGGACCCAGAAAGGGGACAGGGGTAAGATGTTGGACATTTGATCAGAAGGAGATTACTGGTAATGGATGCAAAACCCTATGGGAGACTATTTTCATTTTTGCATGTTTGATACCTCTGGCATAAAATATAGAGTGTTATACTTGAAGTCATAATGACCTGAATTAAAATCCTGCCTCTGGTGTTTCCTTACTATGAGACTATGATCAAGGCCTTTACCCTCTGAAAAATGTCAGTTATTACATTTTCTTTTTTTAATTAAAAAAGCAGTTATTTTTAATCTTTTAGGTCTGTTTTTTTTTAAGCAATCTTTGCCTATACACAGTTCCAGGTCAAAGTCCCAGGGCAAAGAGGAGCACTACAGCTTGCAACCACAGGTGAACAGGGTTCCTGGTCACAGTTCCAGGGAGTAGAAGAGTGCTTGTGGTCAGGCACAGGCCAGGACATCAATGACCACACCTCTCCTTAAATCAGACTACCTTGGAAGAACCAAAAATGTACAGACTGTCAGACCTAGCTCTGAAAACAGCAGCATGAAAAACCTAAAATGGGACAGTGCCTCGCCTATCCTGGAAGCAGAGCCCAACTTTAACAAAAGTTAAAACTCAAGAAATAGGCTGGGAAAATGAGTTAAAAAAAAAAGAACCTGACCATAGAAAGTTACTATGGTGACAGGGTAGCTCAAGACACAAATTCAGAAGACAAGGAACTCAAAATAGCTAAATGTAAAGTCTCAAAGAAAAATGTGAATTTTACACAAGCCCAAAAAGAATTCCTGGAAGAGCTCAAAAAGGATTTTCAAACTCAAATTAGAGAGGAAGAGGGAACATTGGGAAAATAAATAAGAGCAATACAAGAAAATTATGAAAAGAGAGTCAACAGCTTGATAAAAGAGGCACAAAGAAGAAAATAATGCCTTAAAAAACAGAATGGTAAAGAGGTACAAATATCCACTGAAGAGAACTCCTTAAGAAAGCAGAATTGGCTAAGTAGAAAAAGAGGTACAAAAATTCACTAAGGAAACAGCTCCCTAAAAAATAAAATTGGCCAAATGGAAAAAGAGACATAAAAGCTCACTGAAAAAAATAATTCTTTAAAAATTAGAATTGGTCAAGTGGAAGCTAATGGCATCAAGAAACAATAAAACAAAATCAAAAATGAAAAAAATAGAAAATGTGAAATATCTCATCAGAAAAGCAACTGACCTGGAAAAATAGATTGAAGAGAGATAGTTTAAGAATTTTTGGACCACCTGAAAGCTATGATCAAAAAAAGAGCCTAGATAACATCTTTCAAGAAATTGTCAAGAAAAACTGTCCTGGTATTTTAGGTCCAGAGGGTAAAATAGAAATTGAAGAAATCCACTGATTAACTCCTATAAGAGATATCAAAATGAAAACTCCCAGCAATATTATATCCAAATTCCAGAACTCCCATGTCAAGGAGAAAATATTGCAAGCAACCAGAAAGAAATGATTCAAATATCATGGAGCACAGTCAGAAAAACACAAGATTCTATAACATCTACATTAAAGGATCTGAGGGTTTGGCATATAATTTTCCAGAAGGCAAAGGAGCTAGTATTACAACAAAGAATCACCTACCCAGAAAAACTGAGTATAAACTTTTGGGGGGAGGGGGATGGACATTTAATGAAATAGAAGACTTTCAAGTGTGCCTGATGAAAAGACCAGAGCTGAATAGAAATTTTGAATTTCAAAGACAAGACTCAAGAGAATCATAAAAAGATAAACATGAAAGAGAAATCATAAATGATTCAATAAGACTAAACTGTTTACATCCCCATACAGGAAGATGATACTTGTAACTCCCAAGAACTTTCTAGTTACTAGGGCAAGTTAGGAGTACACATAGACAGAGGGCATTGATTATGAGATGATTTTTAAAATATTAAGGGGTAAGAAGGTAGAAGCACTGGGAAAAGGGGGAAGGGAGAGGTAGAATGGGAGAAATTATCTCCCAAAAAGAGGTACAAAAGGAAGAGCTTTTCCAGTGAGGGGAAGATTGGGGGTGGGCAACACTTAAAACTTACTCACATCAGAATTGGCTCAAAGATGGAATAACATACACATCTACAGGAAAGTAAGACAGGAAAGGGATAAAGTGGGGCTTATAGAAGGGAGGGCTGAATAAGAGTGGCAGCAGTGATAAGCAGAACTGAGATTTTAAGGAAACTAGGAATTTTAAGAGGAAGAAAATGCATGGTGAACAACTTCTCCAAAAAGATAAAAACAAGAGACAGAATGTCTTACGTTAAGAAATAGAAAGATGACCAATTTAAGCCTGAAAGATGTAGAAAATGGCACAATGTGTAATGTGGTTAAAAAGATAGGTTGGATCCAGATTTTAAAGACCTTTAAACACCAAACAGAAGACAGTTTGTATTTCATCTTATGGGTAATAAGGAGCCACTTAAGCTTATTAAGCAGAACTGACATGGTCAGAATAGTGGAATATCATTTAGGAATATTGTTTCAGCAGCTATATAGAGGGTAGACTGGAGAGGAGAAAGACTTGGAACAAAAAGAACAATTACAAGGTTCTTATAATAGTACAGTCAAGATGTGATGAGTACCTAAACTAGGGTGGGGGCCACTTGAAGGAAGAGAGGGGGATTATTGATTGTAAGAGATGTAATGAGGTAGAATTAATAAGACTTGGAAACTAATTAGATATGTGAAGTGAGTAAGAATGAGGAGTTGAGGATTACACCAGAGTTATGAACCTATATGACCAGAGGGATGGTGGTGCCTTGTATAGAAA